CCAAGTACAAGATCGAGGTGGCCCTCCGGCCCGGCACCGTCCAGGCCACGTAAGTGCAGCCTCCCTGCTCGGGGCGGCTCCCCCGGCCCTCCCTTCCCCGCTGCTTTATTTTTAGAGGTTTAATATTTTTTCCTGGCAGACTGACAGCACGGGGTTTCCGTGATTTCTCCCTCCCCGCCCTTTTGCTTTGGTAGCCCCTTTTCTAGGTCCCTGGCCAGTTGTTCCCAATGCTTTGCCCAGCTGGTTCGGGAGAGAGGCCGCGTTTTGGAGTCGCTTCCTTCCCTCTCCCCTCCCCATCTTCTCCCGGAGCTCTTTCAAGCTCTTTTTCTCTCTCCTTCTCCGCGGTTTGCCCTGGAGGCAGAGGGAAGAGGCCCCTCCGGCCCTGCAAGGCAGGGATGCATCATGCCCAAGCCTCGCTGCAGCGTGGCAAAGCAGAGACTGGGACCAGGGAGGATGCCAGAGACTGGGAGCCAGGGAACCAGCTCTGGGTGGAGAGACAGCCCTGGAGACGGGATTCAGCTAACCTCTCCCCAGCTACTGGAGATCGGATCCCTCCTGCCTTTCCCTTCTATATTTTCCCTTGGTGACTGCAGAGCCCTGACATTTTTCAGGAGCCCCAGTGAGTCAGCAGCACCTGCAGGTCTGCTAAAATCCCTGAAGCATCCCCCAGGACAGAGGCTGCCAGCCCACATGCTGGCTCCAAGCTGCTAGGGAAGTGGACCTGCAGGGCTGCTGAAAGTCAGGATCCTGTCTCTTTGCAGGACAATGGGCATCGGGGGCGTCAATGTCCCACTGGAAGAGAAATCGAGGGATGCACAGGTGGCCTCTTACACAGGGATCTACGACACAGAAGGGGTGCCCCATACCAAAAGCGGGGAGAGACAGCCCATCCAGGTCAACATGCAGGTACGTGGTTCTCCAAACCTGGCATGGGAAGACGAGGGAGGACAGCAGGGGGCTGACTCCCAGCGAGGGAGTTGTGGCGGTGAAATATTCCAGGGCAAAGTCTGATCACAGCTGCTGCACTCCTCTCTGCTTTGCATCAGAAAGACCGCTGGTCAGAGAGTAGCTGGAAAACACAATCCCTGCTTCCCAAGGGAAAGCCAAGAGAGCAGCAAGGGCCAGGAAGTAGTAGGGGGATTTCTAGAGATTCGCATAGCCCTTTGGGGTGCTGCAGGAGAAAGAAATAGGAGCTGAACTCCTCACCTTTTCTGCAGGGCATATTACAGACTTCAGGCAACTCCCACCAAGGTCCCTGGCTAGGAATGCAGTTCCAAGTCCTTGGCAAAAGGACCCTTCTTTTGACTGCCAGCACTGGCAGAGTTTTTAGAGCATGCCTCAAGCACAAGGGGTGACTACTCTCCCCTTCCACCTGTCATCTGCAGGATGCCTGAGGACCTGCCAGAGGCTGAAAGCAGGTGTGAGAACACACACACCACACTCCCCCCACCAAAGGCTGTCTTCTTCCTTTCTTTCCCCATATGCTTCCATTATCACATTATCTCTGCATCCACAAACCTAAGTTCTTATTCAAGTAGCTCCTCACCCCAACCTTAAAAAGAAGCTCCAAGGGCCAGAATCAGTATATGCCATGGCCCCAAAGTGAGATGACAAAAGCTCAAGCCCGTAGGGCAGCAGAGCTGAGAGACAACAGGAAGAGCAGCAGGCAGATTTCCACAGCACTCTTTAGGTGGTGCGCGCAGGGTGCAGAGGGAGATTTGTTTTGTTCTGGCTTTGGTTTGGTTGTTTGAGGTTTTTTCCCTCTCCTGATTACAGTTGTGAGGGATTTCTGCTGTTTATTCTATGCCTCCTGTACCAAAAAGGGGAAATGGGGCAGTAAACCATCTTCATCTGAAGCTCTCTTAAGGGTCTGTTCCAACTTCTACAAGTTTAGGACCTTGCCAAGCCCACCAGATTTCAGCTTTTTCTCATATTTGCTCATTGCACTTAAGATTTCATCTTGATCTTTATCTTCACTATTTTTTTCTGGAATCATCGTTTAGCATGGCAATCCCCTCCTGAATAAGAACTGTAACATCTCCATTTGCAGTTTCTAATAATTACAGCATGTGTAACAATTTTGGAGACCCACATCACATTAACAGTTACCACTTCATAATCTTAGGTTAATAAGACTACCCTGAAGTCTTTGTCCACATGAATCACTTTTCTATACAGTCGCCTCCTTTTAACACCTAGGAAAACCAAACACCCAGTATGACTTCTCAACCAGCAGAACAGGGCTGCTGGATGCCGCCATTGAGTAGTGCCATTATATTTCACAATGTCCTTATACCAGGAGGTGAAAGGGCACTGCTCCCCAAAAAACCCCAGCTGCTTTGACTAAGGCATCCCTATTTTGATAGCCACCTTTACCCTTAAGTGTAGCACTGATGTGAATTCTGAAAATCTGGAAGTTTAGCTTTTCTTATGGAGAAAATCAAGTCAAATAAATCACAAATGAAGTAATTCCAAGAAATGCAAAGAGGTTCCGATTTTCAGATACACGCTCTGAGCTGGTTTGTTGCAGAATCAGAATGATTAGCCACATTATTTGTCCAAACAGTAGCTTTTACAAACCAAATCCTGCAATATTAACCATGAAAGCTAATAGGATTTGCAAGTGTTAAAGCAGGTCCTCAACCTCTTTTAGGATTTGATCTTGATAGATTGGTTCTTCAGTACAGCCTTAGATGTCCACAATTGATACTTTTAATGATTAAATATAGGAAACTCAGGAAGGATTTACATGTTTAACTCATCATTTAGCTGCTTAGCTAGACAGAGCCATAACAGATTTAGGGAACCAGCCCCAGACACCCCAGTTTGAAAACTGCTTCTAATACCTACTTCCTGAATCTTCAAAACTGGGCTTATTGCATACAGCTTTAAATTTTCCTATTTCCTTCAACTATGAGGAACTTCAGCCTCCACTTCCTTTTCTATAACAGGCAGGATCCTGATGCATCCTAGGGAGATAAGGACACTATTCAAGGCATAAAATCTGAACTCACATTAGAAATAGACCGTAAGGTCAGTCCTGCAGTTAACAACTGGTCTGATACTGCCAATTTAATGCCTAAAAGCCAGAAAGTCCGTAAGAATTTATTTCCCATCTGCTTTAGAACTTTAAACAAATAATTCTTTGAGCTCCTACTTTAACTGGCTGGTAGACATCTTACCTGTTACAGCCATAGTTTATATGTGGAAAACAACATCCCATTTCTGAATTCCAGAATCTGAGGATGCATTTGTTACCTGAATGCTCAAGTATGCACGCTACCCAGAAGCTGCTGAAGTGGCTAGCAAATGGTGTAAACTAAGTTAGAAACCTCTCTTTGGATCTCGTTTTATTCTTGGTCAGACTAGATTAAGATTGAATCAAGAAGCCAGACCTCCGTTCTCATAATAAATAGCCATCAAAAAACATCCTAGCATGCAAATTCAGAGGGAGCGATTAAATAGCTATTCACGCCAATAGCAGTGGATGACAGAGAATAGTAGATAGGGAAATAGGCTTCTAAGCCTGACCTACAAAGAGTAGGGCCATCCCTCCTCCCTGGGGAAGCCCGTATACAGTGGAGGAGCCAGGGTTCAGCTGCAGGAGCCACGGGAATTCAGGGGAGTTCTGGGGATGCAGAATGCTCATTATGCCACAGAGCTGCTGCATCTGCTAAGTACTGGGCTGAGGGGAGGCACATGGCAGTAGGAAAGCTCTGCAATTAATTCTTTCCTTCTCCTGGAAATCCACAGCAGTCAAACTACTTAGGGCAGCTCAGCAAACTGGGTCATTGGAGGAAGACAGAATTTGTTTTCTTCCTTTATCTTGTTGAAATTCAGATCCTCCATATATTAATGAAATGAAATGCTGCTCTTGTATCACATCACCTTCTACAAATGCTATTAGAAATGCCTTTTCTTCCTCAGTTTCCAGACTTGAGGGTGGCTGATGCTCCTCTCTGACAATTTCTCTGTGTGGATTGTGCACAGTAATATTCAATGCGCTTAACCTTTACTACCTTGCATTATGAGTATATCAGGATTATTATCAGAGATAATTAATAGAAGAATTCTTAATTAAGGTTTTAGTTGCTGAGAGAGATAAAATAGCCTGTACATCTGATTCTCTTTGTCAAAGGAAGTGGCAGAAATATTTCAGCTACTCCTTTAAGGTAACACTTGCATCTGGAGCCAAATAAAACCCTTCCACTAATGGCACACAGCTTTTGTTGTCAAGGCTAAATTTAAGTTACCACAGTGGGCTGGGGGAAGGTTTAAAGCAATGTCCATTATGCAGTAGCAGCTTACAAACCACATCTTGAATTAAAAAAAAAACAAACATGTCCTTCTGAGAAAACTGGATACAGAAGGCTTTGCTTGCAACTCAGGAAGAGTCACGGTGTAAAAGGGCTTTCATACTGACTTTGCAAATGTGATTATAATAGTCAGATGATCAAAGGTCAGCTCCCAGGCACATGATGGGAATGGAAAATAATCAAGTGAAGAAGCTGTCATTAAAGTGAGTGATGGAAATATTTAAAAGGAAAAAATGTTGAAGAACAAAGTGTCGTTCAGTAGCACTGCATCCACTATCTAGTATCGTCTAACAACATAGCACAATCAACAAACCATACTACTGGGACCAACAACAATGCGTATAGGCTTCACACCCACACTTTGGACTCTCTGCAAGGTCTCAAGGCATAGGAACTCAAATTTTACATCACCATCATAACTGAAGTAATGATCTATCCTCGTTGAGCCTCATTCATGTTATTTTGCTGATATTGCAAGGGTATCTAGCAATGGCTTCAAAAAAGTGCGAGATTTTATTTTGTAGAACTTAGTATAGCCATAGTCTCATTCCCTTCAAAGTTGCAATCAGAAAACTTGCAGTCAATGTCTCACTAGCCCTTCACTGTATTAGACACTTACCTGCTAATATGTGCTGATTATCTCCTTCCTAGCCTCTTCTACTCATATCTAAGTTTGAAAGGCTGCACTATCACAGTACAACTAGCAATTACAGAAACGCACAAAGGAGAAGTTCTTTTGTTTAAGTTTCATCTAAAATGTGGAACAGAATCCCAGGGAAGGAGTAAGTGGTCTAATAGCAGCGTATCTCAATCAAGACACCGCAAACACAAGGCTACAAAATACAGGGACATTAAATATTCCAGATTGAGCAAAAGAAGGAATCTTCCCAGTTGTAACTGCAGCCTCTAGGTATGGTATAAAGGTGAAGTGATGGCCTGTATCACTACAGATCACTGCTACGTGATATGTATATACATGCCAACTACTGCTGTGTCATCTTAAGAAGGATTATAGCTTGGATTCTTGCTCTTAGTAACATTTATCCACATGGGAACTTGAACATTTTTACTCCCTTGCCTTTCCCAGACGTAAGTGCAAGAGGACAGTACGTGGAGAATCTGATCCTTCATGTTTTATGTATGCCTAAGCATAAAAGACTTTATGACTGCTAACGCAGGCTTTACAGAACTTTGACTTATTGACTTGAGGAACAATAACCCTTATATCAGCTGTTTTACGCTCTGCAGTTTCATAAGAGTGGTGTTTCTCGTTAATAGAGAGAAACCAACAAAATAATCAGCTAACACTGATATTCCCTCTTCCTCGCAGTTCAACGACATTGGCGTTTTTGAAACAGTGTGGCAAGTCAAATTCTACAACTACCACAAACGGGATCATTGCCAATGGGGAAACAGTTTTGGTAGTATTGAGTACGAATGCAAACCAAATGAAACGCGCAGTCTTATGTGGATCAATAAAGAGACCTTCCACTGAAGAGATGTGAAACCAATACTGCTGGACAATCTCCCTAAAGAAAAATCTACCTTTTTAAACCAGCAAGAAGCCTTAACAAAGGCATACTGTAACGTTGCTTTGTTCCATAAAGTTCCAACAACTACGTTGTATATACAGGTGGTGCCACTAAAAATCTTTGCCTATTACTGTATTTTAAGTTTACCACGGCATCTGCAACATTCTTTATCTGTCACCCTGTAAAGTTCATGGTGAAGAATATTTGATAGCTGGGTAGAAAGTCATACCATCATAATACTGTCATAAGTATTTGGATTATGCCCACTAAATGGTTCCACTAGACGCAACAACTTTTGTGAAGTGTTTTGCTTTATTGCTTAGAATTTGGATGCAACATCACATTGGTGATTTCTGTATTTATATTTGTGTTTGCTCCTAAATCAGTGTGCTCCTTCAAGCATTTTGTCATACATGTCACCCCAGTGGACAGCAAAAAGTGCAAATTATGGATATTTGTAGGTTTAGCTAAATGGCAGCTACTGCACTGTTGATATTGTGCTTTCATACCAACGGATTTGGAAACTCATTCTCCCTTTTGTTAAGTGCTGTAAGATACTCCGTTTGCTAATTTACCAAATCTCTCAAAATAGGATTCTTTGTGGTTAAGTTTCTCAGTCTCTGAAATAGCTTTAGGAAACAGTATAAAACGTGCTAACCTGAATGAAGGAAAAGCAATAAATCAGTTGTGGTATTCAAAGACATCTAACAACATGGCTAATATCTATCTTAAGATCATATAGTATTCTTGAATGATAGAGCAGCCATACTTAATTTAGTTCTTAGATTAAGAGTTCTGATAGTAATCTCCATTTTTGTTTTAATGACACATTGCTCAAATCAGTAAAATCTTACAAATCAACTTTTTCAAGCCTGACCACTGTACTGTACCAAAATCAATCTGATTTCTGACCAACAAACACTCAGCAGCGTGAAGAAAGTACAGATCCCAGTGCATGTTTATACGTGCACTGCACTCTTTCAAATAAAGATAAGCATGTAAGCATATGCATGGTTACGACTAAAGGTGCTACATAAACACTAGATCAGTGTTTAACACATGCAGACAATGAAAAACAAACATATCCTTTCTTTCAGTAAATAAAGCAGGGAAACAAATACACTGTCTCATCCCCAACTTGGGCTGAAGTAAGCTGTCAGTTCTTGCATATCTGTTATTCCTTTTGTGAATAATTTGTAAATTGTGTATGTAAATGGTAACCATGACTTTTGATCTTTGTAATAAAGGACTTAAACAATTTCTTCTCTAGTATGACCCTCTAAATGAGTTGAAAATACTGCATCAAAAAAGGCAGTTGTTTTAGAAAGTCAGACAGCAGAGGGTACGTAGTCAGTCAGCTTTCTGAGAACCCAGTCCAAAGTACCTCGTGTTCTTCACGCAAAGCTATTGTTTCTAAGAAATACAGATCCAATGTGCTAGAATGCAGAAAGTAAATGTGATAACACTCAACAGAGCTTATTGATAAAATTCAACTGCATTTTGTTGCACTAACATAGTGTGGAAAGTAGAGATTTAGGACAGAAGTGAAATACCAAAGAAATATTTTCTTCCATCGAATCATTAATCAAAAAGCTTGACTGTTTGCAGATTTCTACAGACAAAAGAGCCTGACGGTAGCACTGATGTAATACGTCACTAGAACAGTCAGCTAGCCAACTGCATCTCTACTCTGAGGCAATATTACACAGGCAAATTTCACTGCGATGAAATTCTAGAAATAACCTTCTGCGTTAACTTCTTTCCTAGACTTTTCCAAGACTACAGAAAGAATTCTTCAAAATGAAAAAAACTGAACTGAGCAAATTCAAATGTAATCTGTACTTCAAACAGAAGTGTTATTGCCAGCGCTTTAGCAGAAGTTTTCAGATAACAGGCTTCAATGATACCAAACTTCCAGCTGTCAATCAATTCTATCTCTGCACTACTAGAAAGTGATTTTGTTCTGCAACAATTGGCATACTTTGGTTTATTTTGTTTGTACACATGAACTGAAAGCACATCAGCAAGAAATATGTACAATACATAAATTAACAGAGAAAATTCTGTCCTAGTAAAATTAAAATGTGTAAGACAGGCCTTCACTTTGAGTTCAGCTTCTATGAAATCCTTGGCCCATGATGTCCTAGCCCTCCAGCATTTAAGAAATGTTACCACGAATAAATCCAGCCTATCCTGGCACAGGAGGGCTATTACTCTCAGCTAGCTGGAAGCACACCTTTCCCAAGGTAAATACTCACATTCATAGTAATGCCAAATAGGGCAGCAATTCTCTCATGTCCTAGCAAGCCCTGTAGCAATTCAGCTGAAATTCAGTTCAGAGGGCGGTCAAGCAAGCCTGCAGACAGAGTGAGTTGCTTTTAAAAGGAAGGAGAGAACACCAGACCAACTGTGTCTTGCAGGCTCCATATCCTGATACTGAACATTGCTGCCCAGGACCATAGCAGCCCTTTCATAGATGGTGCCAGTGATAAAAAGGATGAGGACTGGTTAACAGCTTATCTTGGGGAGGGTGTAAATGGCATTTATCAGCTCTTATATCCTTCTCCCCTAGATGAGGTTTAAGCAGAGAGAAATGTTGCTTGGTAGCCTTGCATTATTCCTGCCTGAATAGAAGATTATTCATGTGATATTTGTTGAGTATCCATACCACCATGGATGACAGAGCTGATACTCCGCATATGTAAAGCGAAATAGTCCCATTGACTTCCCCTTGCTCAACAAGTGCTTTGCTAATACAAAGCACAACATTTGCTCCTAGTAAAGGAGACCCAAGACTTTAGCAGTTCTCCGAAAGTAATGTTTTGAATTTTTCATCCAGGACAACTCTGGTAAATATTCATAAAGCTTGAGTCACTAAAAAGCTGTTGCTGTGACAGTTTGATGCATTATTCAACCAGCAGCATTTAATCTCCAGACAAGTTTGTTCTTTACGCACCTTTTTTTAAGCAGTAGTTCCATTTTTGGGCAGAAGTCCAAAATTCAGAACAGGACACAATACACTAAGCTTAAATATATATTTATTTTTATCCACTATAATGTCAAAAAATGCTGAAAATGCATCAATCCAGCTGAAACCACAAAGCACTCATATCTAAAGGTTTTATACATGACAGACTTCAAGATTTTTCTCATGAAGTGTCCAGCTTTCATTTTCATAAGAAAGATTGAAACAGATATACCAAATCTTTCAGAGTCACTTTTTCATCTGTATTTAGGTAGCAGTTAGCACTTTCAGACTGCTGAGTAAAAGGATCCAAGAACAAGTTATTAGTCATGATTATTACAGTGGCGATCCTGCATAGGGCTTGCACTAGATCATTAGCGTTTGCACAAGGCTTTGTGTTTGGCGCAGCTACTACAGGCTTTGGTATCTCCTACTGTCTGACTGTATCTGAAAAAGAAATAACACTGCTAGAGTCTCCATGCCCTAATAGCACAAGTTAGGGAGGTTTCACCGGCTTCAGCTGAGGCTCTGTCCATTGGTTTGCAGATGCAGAGTGACCCTTAGTGATTCCAGACTAGCAGAGTATCCGAAAACCTCATTTATTACATTCTTCCTATAAACGATGTGAATGGAACTTCTGTACAATGAAGCTGTAAGTTTTGTAATACAAGGCTTTCACGTGCAGGAGAGGTTGGTTTTCATTTGGTTAAGAGCATCTGCCTCACTTGCTATGTAGAATTTTGACGCATGTGCTATGTTGAATAATTCTATTCTTCTAGAGTCTCTGTGTAAAGCTTTGATTAAATAAGGACGTGACACATTGTAAATGCTAACCTGTTTTTGAGATCTGAAACAAGTGGTGGGGCTTTCAGAATTCAAAGCATTGAGCTGTGTCAACCCTGAAGCGCAAAGCAGCAGTATAATTTATGAGTCTTACAACATTCGTGTTTTCCCTTAGCTCTACAAAGCTCACAAGCGGTGATTGGAAAGTTCCCTTAGTGCAGCTAATCCAGATCTTTGGCTAGGAGAGACAGGCACTCCTGCCCATGGGCCTTCCCTGCTGCATGCTTGGCAGGTTTCGCCAGCATTCCTTGGATTGCTTCCTTTTTCCCCTCTCCCTGAGACCAGCGTTTAAGGCTTCAAATCCCTGTGAGCCCTGGCTTTCAGCCTTAGGAAGACAAGGCTGCATCAACCCAGGAAGAGCCAAACCAGTCCTCTCGGCATTGTTTTCTCTGTCCCTACTTCAAAGTTGTTGATTATTTCTCCTATTAGTCGACACAGCTTAGTTCTGTGCACTCAGGAAAGATAATCCCATGACCGACCTTACATTACATATAACCTTCTCTGCCTCTTCCTGCAGAAGAAATTCACAGGGATTCCAACTATATCCCAACTATATCCCAACTATAAATAAGAAAATGACCAGCTACCAAAAAAATGAAGTGAAGTTGGACTACAGAAAGCACTGCTGATGGTCAGTGGTGGCAGTCTTGCAGTATCTGCCATTACAGTGCTGGAGAACTCAGACAACTACGTAGATTGTTTCCACGGTACTCTAACACTCACTGAATTTCTCTGTATAATAAGATATACAGAAACGAAGAATCATAAGCTTTTGTGAGCTCTCTCACTGCAGTCATTGGAGTTTGTAATCTTTTGACCTGCAGTGACTTGCACCACTCAGGTATGAGTACATAGATTCAAACAGATCTCCATCGGAGACAAGGCTTAAAAGCCATGACAGCTTTTCCATCAATCTTGATGCCAAAAATCTTAAATTAAAAAATAATTCGTAACAGCACATCTGCATTGACCAAGTGTAAGGCTTTGATATTCTGTTTTTCTTCATTTGGACAAACTTGATTCTCAATGCCGCCATATACAAGTGCTTCATCTGCTATTCATAAGGCCTTTGTTTCCCTCCCCCAGAGAGCAGACACTCCTACTCCCTTTATCCCAAATAGCGAAGACCAGCCTGTTATCCCATCCGGTAACTTCTGCAGCCTTCAAACAATCCTGAGAGAAGCAATAATAAACCATCAGTTGATGATGATGAAGGCAGCAGAGGCAAGAACCATATGACTGTGTCGGAGGTAAGATGGACCTTCTGCCCATTCTCAGCACGGTAACTGCAAGGTTAGGCGCCATCCTGCTGTTGTGGGACTGACTGTGATAACGTCGTCGGTAATATCTACATTAAGCTACAGCGTATGTGCTACAGGGACCAAATGTTCTCAGAAGCTTGAACTGAATCATTATGAGTTTAATGTGAACCCCAGAAGGCCTTGTCTGCAGAGAAATGCCAGTAGCGTGCAATAATATCACAACATATACATGTTTTCTGACTATGATGGCACTCTTCTGCTCAGTCTAAGTTGCTATGCAAACAGATTCACCTAAGGTACTTCCACATTTCAGACTTATTGTAGAGAACAAGCCCTGGCCAATTCTATGTATACAATATATAGTTGAAAGTTGGTGGGTTTTTTCTTCTTTTTTTTTTGTTTTTAATTAACTGTATTATTTTTACTTCTGGCTTCAGAGACATCTCTCTGCCTAAATACTACACTACAGGCAAGCTGAGCAAATGCAAGAAATACCACTCTGTAAAAATACAACTGCAGTCATCCCTGTTCTATATGGAAACTATGTGACTGCACTCTAAAGATTTAACAGCATTAAAACAAATTAAAAAAAGCCTTCATGAGTCTTTCAGTTCTGTTGCAGCCTGAACACTGTTCAAGAGGCTTGCAACATTTTGTCTATCAGAACAAAGCAATATTGATATATAAATGTGCTCATCATCTTATTTTCAAATGCACAACGTTTACACTAAACTTTGCTATCCTTGAGGCGGATGGTTAAGAAACCAAGAAAAGGTGCCAAATGCACTTCTGGTACAAAGTTCCACTAAAATGTACGGAGTTAACATGAGGGACGAATTTGCCCCAACATGCTAATATGTGGATTAACTACCCTTGCTTAAAACAGAACCGTAAGAATTTAGACCTATCCATCTTAACGCAAATGAAATATAACTCACTGAGGAAATATTTCCAGGGAAGTTGTTTGTTTTAAATACAGTGAAGATTTCCTCTACTGATCATTTGCCCTACCTTAGAATATCTTTCTTCTTCTCTAGGGATCAAGAACTAACATTTTGTGCTTGTATACAGGTACAGAATCAGTTACATAATGAGCTAGCAGAGCTGAAAAATTTCTTGCAGGTGTTTTTTTTTGTTTTTAAAATAAAACCAGCTATCAATTCTTACTTCCTTCTGCTTCAGCCCTGCAA